ATAATTAAAATTTCCAAACCTAAACCAAACCGTTTTTGACCGGTTTGGTTTGGTTCAAAACCATTTCGTTGACAGGTCCACATGGCACCAAACCGTCGGTTTCGAAATTGCGGTTTCGGTTCGATTTTTCGGTAAGGCCGTTTTTGCTTATAGCCCCAGATAAACCTTATCTTCAGGGCCGCTTAATATTAATTAAACTTCATGTTAGGATTACGAGATTTCTCTCTTCTTTTCCTTTATAAACTAGAAGTATGGTTGTAATGGGGGGGATTTTGAGTGCAACAAAGTGAGATGTTTTCTCTCTCATCAAAATTTCGATATTTTGATAAATCAATGAAACTTTAATTCTTCTGACCATTCATATCTTCAACAAGTTTTTAGTTCTATCAAAGAAAATTATCGAGCATTTTCTTCAATTCGATTTGCATCACGTAAGGGAATCATTTTAACAAAATATTTCTAATTAGCAGCTAACAATTGACTTCACAGGTAAAAATGTAAAATCGTTCGATTGAATATCTTTAAACATGAGATATTATGTCAAGCTAACTATTGATTGAGAAGGGAAGACACAAAGAAAGTTCCATGGTGCATGCAGCGAACCTATCTTTTCCCCGACAAAGACTTAAAACTATATACTATTTCCTTGGCAATATATATGTTGGGCTATGGACACAACATATCTCCACATTGATATGATATTGTCTACTTTGAACATAACCCCTCATGGATTTGCTTTTGGATTTTACCCCCAAAGACCTCATACTAATGGAGATATTTGTTCATCCTTATAAACTCATGATCATCCCCACTTCTAACCAATGTGGAACTTTGGTCGTATACTCAACAATCCTCCTCTCAAACAAAGGACCACCGAGCCTCCCCTCAAACGATCACCATCCGTCCACTCTCTACCATCCATAATTCTCCACTCCAATGAGTTGGAGGCACGCGCCTTACATGGAATACCACCTGCCTCGAGAGCTTGCTCTATCCAGATCAACTCTTATTCACCGTGTTAGGGTCATGACACATCTATGAAGCATCCGGAGCACACCGCCTGTCCAATAGAGCTCATCCACAGATCCCATCGCGAGCAGACTGAGGCTCACCACCTTCTTTCAGCATTTCGAGGAATTCATCCACATGACTAAGTTTGGGGTTTGACTCTGATACCACTTGTTGAATTATGGACACCACATATCTCCACATTAATATGGTTTTTTCCACTTTGGACCTAAACCCTCATAAATTTGCTTTTGGGCTTTACCTCAAAAGACTTCATATCAATGGAGATATTTGTTCATTTTTATAAACACATGATCATCCACACTTCTAACCAATGTGGGACTTTGGTCGTTTCAAATCAAGAAACTAATTTCAATAATATCAATCGATTAAATGTCATTTTCACCTTGTTATATGATTTTTTTCCACAATGATTGATTGAACCGTTCATTTTAATAGACTATATTTCAAGATTATTAACGGACAATAAATTAATAAATATCTTACATCTCGAAAACTTATGATTTATGATTGGACTCCACCAAAACCTACCAACCGTTCTCATTCAATTTCAAAAAACCAAGCGAGTCAGACTTATACCATTACGCTCAAGATTGTCTTGTAGTTTAGGATCAGTTTCGTCCTTCCTAGTAAGACCAGCAAGGATCGCGCCAAATCCTGATGGAAGCGATGCAGAAGAAGATTTGGAAGCAAATATTCATATTTATCCACACTGATAAACTACAAGTCTGCCAAAGTTTTATGTACAAGAAGTGTTACCAACACAGATTTGTTCTAAAGAAAAATAGTCATTGCTCATACATCCCTGACTTTTAGCCTGACTTCTGTGTGGAAGTGGGGTGGCTTCTTTGGGCTTGAAGAACCGGTGCTGAATTTACGAACCAAGATCTTGAAACACGGCAATAATAGTATGTAGAGTGTGCCCATGATAAATGGTGTAGCAACAACCCATCCCAACAACTGCATATATTTTAAGAAATTACCCAACAAATAGACCAAAGTATATAAATGGAGATCGCCAGAGAAAATTAAAGAAATCGAGAATAAAAAAATGCACGTATACATCAGGTTCAAAATTTCTATTAAGACTCCCAGAAAATAGTACAAAAAATAGAACCACATCAACTACATTATAACACTACATTTATAAAGATGGCCATCTTAAAGCTTAATATTTACTTAAACTGAGATAAGAGAAATTGATATCGCTTCATCGAACCTTTTACCCTCACTAAAGATCGCTAATATCCATTTTGTGAGAAATTATAGAAAGCTACTCAATGCGCAGAATTCTGGTCATATACTATACGTCTTTCCCTCAACCTTAAGGCACACTGCATTTTTAGGTATTCTCTGTCTGATTGTATGCCTGCTACTGCAATATAGCATTCCTAGAACTCTGTGTCGCAGTTCATATACGTAAAAATAATGGACTAATTATGATGTTTCTTAGATAGAAATACAAGCCAATCTGATTAAGGCTAAATCTAATAGGGTTAATAAGATTATCTTCCTTAAATTCTTCAAAGCATGGGAAGAGTTTCACGATACTTGTTAATTCTCACATGCCTGTAAGTTGCTAACTTAAGCTCTAATCAAGGACAAACTGCTCTATTTGCATTTGTAAATAGAATGGTGAATCCCCAATCCTCATGACTCACAAACACGATTCTTATCCAAGTATATAACAAAGCAATGAATATATTCCCTGGCAGATGCACGCCCAATTACATGAAGATGCGAGATGCCTGGAGGGGGGGTGGGGACAGAGAGAGAGAGAGAGAGAGAGAGATCAAATTGGTTACGTACTGCATGGACAATGCTCTGCACGACTTCTCGTGAAGCTTGGCCAGTCAACACCTTCTTGAAAGCATCAGATGTTAATGGAAAATGAGGCCCACCAGTAATGAATTCACCAAAGCGTAAAAATGGAATCACCAGACTACAATATAAAATGTGAAAAGAAACAAATAAGGATCTTAAGACATTTGTCAAGAAACAATCAGCGTATTAGCTGATGTTAGCTGGAAAATCATTGCTGAAAAAGAACAGACACCATTCAAACAGAAGTTGCACAAAAAAATTATCTTAGTATATATCCTGTCTTCTCTCAGTTAGCAGGTACCCCAAACTAGTTGTTAACAAAAAGGGTTTAGATTAGGAAACAAAAACTCCCAAAAGAAAAGAAAATGCATTTTGTACAACATTGTCCGAACAAGGGCAGAAAGAAGGAAAAATTGGACCACTGATGTTCTCTAACATAGGTCTTCAAAACATATGGAATCATGCCCATAAATGTTAGACCAATCAACCGGTGACATCAATAACTAACCTATTAATTTGATAGCTCAGACAAAAAGAATAATAATCATCCAGACGATTCTGCATCCTGTACACTCCTAGGGACAAATCCTAGCAGCACGTGATGCACGAGAGGACGAACAGTTTTATGACGGGCTACTAGTCTTGCATAGCTAACAAATTAAAAACTTGATAAATATTCATAACAAAGTGTTTCCTATGAAACGGTATGTCAATCATTAAGCCGTTGTTTGGGTTCCATTAAAATCGAATTTTGGGGGAAAATGTATTTTGGAATAGTGATTTTTTGAAGAATGTGTGGTTAAAAAGTAAAAGTTTTGGATATATGTGTAATATTATTTTATTGGAGAATGTGTAGTTAAAAAGAAGAAAGAGAAAAATGTGTTAAATTAAAATGGAGCACAAATAGGGGTGAAGTCATCTCAATTCAAGATAGCATGAGAGTAAAACCTCCAACGTGCTCAGCGAAAAACTACCTCAATTCAACTGGAGTAGCGATAAAATTAGTCAGCATCACAGTTGGAGCGTGGCAAAGAGATCCCAGCACTGCAATTGCCATCCCACAGAGAAACACGGTAACCCCTAACAAAGATGATTAAATGCAAACATAAGGTGGTGTGGTCATCCAAATTATCTATGGAAACCCCATATACTCGGCAATACAACTGCTTTATAACACTCCCAACTGTATCAAATTTAAATCCGCAAATAACCCAACATAAAATAAATAGTATTCAGGGAACAATGTAAATTACCTAACATAGAAAATCAAAATCGATAAAAAAAAAAAAGAATTACAAAATAATATTAGTGTTACTTTTTAAAATCTACCTGGTCCCACAAGGAAATAAGAAGGGGCACAAGTAAAATCAAAACAACGTCATTATGAAGTAGGCTCAGAATAAGCTTCTTTCATTATCAAACTGTCTCAAGTTCCACCAGGGCAAGACCAAACCTTTGAGATCGGAGCCTCATAATCGAACGTAAACACTTGAGATGATTGAGGTATCAATGAGCCCAGTGCAATCAAAAGCACTATAGTTAAATGGGTGCCTCCTTAAGGAGAAGCATACAAACATCTTGTTAATCGCGTAGTAGCATAAGAGAGGTGTCACGTGGCAAAAACGGTTGTAAGAGCATAAGGGAAAGATGATTCAAGAAATCTTGTGAAAGTAATAACCAACTCAATGGATAAATGAAACTAGTCATGGAACTATCCAAATTTGAGATCTATTATAAGCTCACCAACAATAAAGAAACACGTGTCCAAATGATGCAAAAAGAACAAGAAGCCCCATAGCTTAGGAAATCTATAAATACCTTGTGATTTTACAAGGAAAAGAAGAACTGTTAGAAATCATAGCCAAATTCATGCTCCATCTCCTAGAACTTTACTTGACGGTGGTCACCACCAGAACTCCTCTATTGGAGATCCGGTGGCTGGAAAGGGATCTAGAGAGGTGGCTGAGCAAGGAGGTGGCCAAGGATTTGTTGGCTTGCATTTTTCGACGTTAACAGTTAGTACATTACTCTGAACATGAACCAAATTAATGAGAGCATGACAATTCCAGAATATCAACATCTAACTTAAAGGCTGCGTCAACTAATAGATGCATCAAAAAATATTTTTTTTTTTTAAATGAGAAATATAGCAATTATAAATTCCTTGTTTGGGAGAGTGAAAACTGAATATATCCGGGCAGCTTTAAAGCCCAATGTCGTAATTTAGAGCGCTTGAACTCTGTGAACGATGAAATATTTCAAGTGCATAGATAAAGGTGAAAACAAAAACCAAATTGACTGGGCGTGCAATTATGCATTCTAATTACCAGATGAAAAAAAAAACAATTAGAAAATGGTGGAGAAATACATTGAAATCTATTTTTGTATTCGGTGGAGAAGTACGAAATCCAGTCTTGTATTACATGAATTTCATGGCATTAATGCAGCTCTATCCCTAAAAACGAAGATATATCTTGTGCCTCTCTTTTGGATCGACTTCGAATCACACTTGATATTACACAACTAAAATCACCATTCCTTACATCTATTCTTTTCTACGTGCTAGAAAATGCAGCTACTTATATTTAAGATACCCTTGGTTATTCCGGCTGATTTTACAAATCACACTATTTTCAAAGAAGTAATTTTGTCAAACAGTCAATCAGCTCTTGAGCAACTGAGTTACAGTGGAAAAGAACCCATTAAGCTTCCCTTTTTCATTTCTGCTTGAAAACCGGAGAAATTAATGGGCAACGCATTAAAAGAAACATAAATTAGCAGCTCAAAACAATCTCAATATAATTAGTTTTCAATAACAATTCAATTGAACTTTAACATACCACATATGGGGAAGACGCCCAAAGTGATCCCTAAAGCCCCTGAAAATGCCAATTGCTTTGGCTCCGCTCCCCTGTTAGTTTTTCCAATAAAAACAACAAATTCACGAAAAATTCAGTACGATACAATCAACCGACCGTATTTCCACTAAATAAATAAAAACTGAAATCCTTAGAATAACTTTCATAAACATAAGACGAAAATTACCTGCGAAGTATTTGGAGAAGCGGGTCGACGATCCTTTTCCTGGCCCATGGTCCTAACCCGAATCCGAACCCTTTCAGCATGCCCGCCATCTCTTCAAGTATTGATCTTGATCTTTCGGTTCAAATTTGATTTCTTTTTTCCAGTTTTAATTATTCTGGGGAGCTTGCCAATTTAATTCAGCTGACAGATAAATCACGCAGATTGATGCGCTACTGAAAATGCTGTAATTGAATTATTTTTTTGATAATTTAAAATTACTTATGTCTGCATATTCTGACAGTTGAATTGTTAACTAAAAATTCAGATTCTGAAATTGAATTTGACAGAGCGAGGATTTAGGAAGAGTTCTCGACGAGACAACGATGTCGTTTCATGTGTGTAATTACATTTTCCTTTTACTGGTAAATTTTGTTTATGTGAGGTAACGTAAAGTGGACGGAAATGACAAAGAAAGGTTGGAATCTGGGTGAAGTACCCGCATTTCAGCGCCACCGTTTTCATTATAGGGAAATTTGCACCTCCGGTCCCTATACATTTACGATCATTTCACTTAGATCTGCATTCTTAATTTGTTTGGCAATCACGTTTGTAAGCCTATGAAATGGGTGCATAGAAGGACTTCTAGATGGTTTCCGTCAAAAGATTCTGTTAAAAGATCGAGCATCACCATGCACATAACCTATTTCTTGAAAGTGTTTTTCTTTATTTCTTCAAACACAATAAAGAAAATGAAAAACCAAAAGATAAGAGGGAAAAAAAAAAGGAGAAATAAAGAATTAATAGTAAAATATAAGAGTAAACAGAAAAAGCAAGCAAATGTCTTCTTTCCCAAATCATCAACACTTCATGTACAGCTTGCTGCACTCTCTAAAAATATCTCATCTGGTTATCTCGCATTTAGTGGAAGATATTACCATGATTTTGAGCCTGATTTTCATGAAATCTCTCAAATTGGGCGATAACGATGTGAAATTTCTCACCTAGTTTTGGCGATTAATGGGGTGAAGAGAAGGTGGTAGATGTTGGCAAAGCAACGATGAATGTTGAATATAAAAGAGTAACATTTTTTTTTTGTCTTTTAATTATTTTTAAGATATTAATTTGTTACCTAAAATACCATTGAAAAATATATGTCACGTGCCAAGCAAAATTTAGACGATATTTTAAAAGAGTGTTGGACGAAAGCATTCAAAAGTAAGATCGGCGATGTAATCGTCAAAAAGTTAAGAATGAGGACCCAATTGCAATTGAGAATAATGTTTTGGGAGCCAAGGGCAAATTTCCCTAGATGGCCATGATTCTTTCGAATGTGAAAAAAGGTATCGGGCCTTTTCGAGTAGATAACCCCACAGGCAGGAGTTAGCTCTTAGCAATCATAGCATCTCCCCTCTTTGTAGTTTCTACGTTTTAGCTTGGACCACATCACGTGTATGTGTTTACGGAAAGAGAGGCTTATTCGGCCAAAGTTACAATAATGAACAAATAAAACAATATACGCACATGGGTGATTAGAACCCGTTTAAATAGTACTATAGCTATTCAGCATTCGTTTAAGTGACATTGGATTTCATCATTTACAATTGGTTAATATACGAAAAAATGCAATTGATCGACAATTGTAGATTAAGAATCTATTATCATATAGACTGATTGTAAGCACCAGTATTGCTAAATATCATTTATAAGTAATTCCAAATAAGCATTATAAAAGGACCCCATTATTTCATGAGAAATGATATTTGTACCGAGGGGGACTACCGAATTGTGTCCCCCTCTCACATGATTTGCGGGCCCCGCGCGCATTAAAAATGCCTAGCTGAGGCCCCACCCCCGATGTGAGAGGGGGAACACCATTCGATAATCCCTCTCGATACATGTAGCACGGCCCTTATTTCATTACTACTGCACAATTAATGGTCAATATCACAAGCCATTTAAAAGAGGGTCGTGCTAGTTGGGCCCCATACAATCGGCTTTATATTGTTTAAAAGATTGTTTACATAGTCATCAAGCACTTTGTAACATGTTTCAAGTCAAATTTTTAGACACCAATCTAAGTTGGAAAGGTATAATTCAGTTTCTAAAAGTTCCACATAATAAGATTATTTGAGTATTTACTATTTACCAAACATTTAGAGGAATTTTTTATTCAAAGTTAATTTACAATAATAGTAAAAGATTAGAGATCAATTTGCTCTTACAGTTAGAAAGTACTACTAGAGGAATAAGCTAGGAAGGTGCAATTTTCTCCAACCATTTATGATACACCTTTGAAAATTGTACACGTATGGGAAATAATCGAAAACCATTCCAGTCGATCTTATTATCGTAAAAAAATTGGGAGAATAAAAGGTTAAAACAAGTTAAGAATCAAGCAACTCCTTTTTAAACTCTTTAGTAATTTTCACAACGAAGTTCGATTGAACTCCGATTCAATCTTGGATGATTATATTAGCATCGTAGTTTTATATTGTTGCATTGTATTTTAATTGCATTCAAGGTTCTCGAGCTTGTTTTATTCCAGCAATTATGTTCCTAACTTTTTCTCAAAATTTCTTCTTCAAATTTTCACTAATTAGCATATCTTATTGTTATCGAATGTTTCTATAAAAAATATTCAATTTGCTCACTTTAAAATTAGGAGAATTTTTTTTGTTGCACTTTTGAAATTATTATCTTTTAAATGTGACTAGTGAATGCACGGGCGTTGGACATGTGGTGAGTGATTTAGCATAAGTAATAATGTTGGATTTTGGTTTTGTGAGATTTCATTGGAATTTATATTTTCAATAAATTTGATAACAAACGATTCCTTTCATTTCTCCAACTTTAATCAAATTTCTGACAAGATCACGTACATTAGGACGAGCTGAAAAGTTAACATCAACACACACACACACACACACACACACACACACACACATATATATATATACACATACATATATGTATATGTGTATATACATATATATACATCAATAAATTTGATAACAAACGATTCCTTTCATTTCTCCAACTTTAATCAAATTTCTGATAAGATCACGTATATTAGGACAAGCTGAAAAGTTAACATCAACTCACACACACACACACACACACACACATACATATACATATACATATGTGTGTGTGTGTGTGTGTGTATATATATATATATATATATATCTTGCTAGGATTTACAACTTTCTGTCGGACAACATAAATTTGTTTAAAGCGATAAGAATTAAAAGAATTGTATTTGAATTTACATCTAAGATCAGATCAGATCAGCACAAAACAAATCTTGTCATTGACGTTCTACCTTCCATTTCGAGCATATATATGATCTCCATTTTCAACTTTCTACTACAATTTGATAGTTAAAGATTCATTGAAGCCTTTTAACCTACTACAACAAAACAATATTTGGTGAGGTGGACATGAACTACACGTGTTAATGAACCATCTCTTTTTCCTTGGTAGAAAGTCTATACCATAAGCAATTGAAGTAGAAAATGATGAATTACTTAATATCTGTTTGAAAAATACTTCAGAATTTGGCAGATTAAACCCAATCAGCAAGAGTTTGGGAACGGTAGACAAAAAGAGGATCCACATTTGTTTCACAATTTTTTTTTTCTCCTGGACCTATTTAATTAAATACTAAGTACTAAAATTATGGGACGAACAAAAGTATAAAATCAATTCTCTAATGAAGAATTGGATCTTCGGAAGAAATCATGTGATATAAAATCACATTTGAGAAAATTACCAGATAAGTAACTGCAGCTCACACGTATTTGAACTAATAAACACATCCAATCAAGTTTTTCCCTCATTTAGATTACAATAAACACAAAAGCTTCACTACAAGTAGATGTTCAACTCACTCGCGTAAGACCAATTTGCCTTAGAAAGAGAAACGATACAACGTATTTCTCATAATAACTCTTCACTTACCCGCAAGTACAGAGAAAGAGAAAACATAGATTTCCCTATAACTATAGAGACAAATATGGGAGACAACACACATCTAGGCATGTTAATACCCACCAAAACCAATTAAGATTTTCTTTCGCTCCCTCATATTGAGAATAGAGTGCAATAGGAAAGTGGAACGGTCTTCAACATAGTAACACTTTAGATTGGAATGGCCTCATTGCAAGTGGAACAAATGTCGACCATTTTTAACCAAGATTGGTTTCATCTTGACTTCTGACATTTCTTTATTGGAAGTTAAAAACAAGAAAAGTGGAAATCACGAATGTTTGCGGTCTAACTATTGATGTATAGCACATAGCAAATATAGAGGAATAAAGAAGCATTATTTTTCTTTTCTATCTTTACCTTACGAACATCTTCCAAATACCACGTATATGACAATGAAAGAAAACCAATTTTATTTAGAACACCCCATGTGCTAATAATCTGAAGTAAACTTGAAATACAGTTAAAAATTGCATCTACTAAAGGCAAACATAAAAGTGAGTGCGAAATTCAATGCCCAAATTAGAGAGACTAAAACAAATACATAGCCAATCTACTAGTTATCCCTCAGGAAATATTCCAAATTAATACATTGAGTTAAGAGACCATATTGATATCTAGAAAGGCGCAAATATTGCTACAACTTGCCCACCTGCTTGTCCTTATCAGATAGAGTGGGTAGTTCAATACGCATTTGAGAAGCGTTCATGGTAAATAATGATCTGGAAAAGGTCGAGGAATTCTTTACCTACCACACAAATCAGAGTGAATTGCCCAAATAGTACTGAACTTTACGCCATGCTTTCAAGGGGTTATCGAACTTTAAAAATCACCTAAATCATCACTGAACTCTGTAAAATGTTTCCACGAGGTCAGTGAAATTTAAAAATCACCTCATTCATTACTAAACATTGCAAAAAGTTTCTATGAGATCACTAAACTTTGTAAAATGTTTCCTAGAGGATCACTGAATTAGTGACCCATGGGAAACTTTTTACAAAGTTCAGTCGTGAATAAGGTAATTTTTAAAGTTTAGTGACCTCGTGAAAATCTTTTGCAAAGTTTAGTGATAACTTGAGTGATTTTGAAAGTTTAGTGACCTCTTGAAAGTATGACGTAAAGTTCAATGACTATTTGTGCAATTCACTTCACAAAGCACATCATCACCTTTTACTTCATCTACCTGCCACACCAAATCACAAACTTTATTTAATGTGCCAAATTAAAATAAATTATCTCAGCTAGGCTATACAACCAATAGTTATGTATACATGCTTAAATTTTTTCTTCTATATGATCAAGTAAACAATCCGACATGGAAAGTAATAGAAAAGGGAGAAAATGTAAGATAAAAGTTTCGTGAATTCAAACTCATTGGAACAAAGAAATCAACACATCGAGAAATTAAATGAACTAAAAAGAATAATACAGAAAGAAATCAACAAATAAGTCAATCTCGTTGAATTCAAATTAGTACTCCAACAACTCCGCTTCATACCTCCTACCAAACATAAGTGATCTCGCTTCCAGTAAATAGGTATTGACCTAAAAAGATGGTATCTCCCTTCATCACAGCCTTCAAAAGAGTTCAACTTAGTGATGTATCTGATTAATCGCTAAAATAAACATAGAGTGAATTCGTGCAAAACCTGAAATAAGTTGATAATCAACTTGCATTCGGTGCAGTTGGAAAATAAAAAGTCACCTTATTCTTTTGTGTGTTTATACCAAAACCTTTGATTTAATTTTGGATTTATATTCATAATTACTACAAACCTTCACATATAAGAACCATCAAATTCTTCTTCTTCTTCTTCTCTTGACATCATGGAAACAACAGGATTCAAACACGACTTCATATTTTTAATTTTCTCAATTTTCCCAGCAACCAACAGTAAAGAATATGTATATAACAGCAGGAAGAAATCCATAAAGCCCAAAAATTTTGTTCCTCATTGAACATAATTGTTAATAATGAGAATCGTGGATTAGTAATTTTTTTTCGAATTATAATAAACAATCAAAACTACAGCATACTTGTTTCATAGCTTTCAACTGAGCAGGAAACCCGATGCGACTGACAGATTAGCCAAATTCTTAGTGCTCTTATCAGCCTTCAAATTCTCCAAGGTTTCCTAAGGATATTCCACATAAATGTTCTAGAAAAAGAAAAACAAAATGATCCCGTATCTTTTATACTCAGCTCACTTCCAAGTGGCTCAACAAACCCGGCTGAATCCAAAATTGTTGAGCCAACCACAAATTCGGCTTGTGAACAATAACTCACAATTGCCTCTTTTACTTTTAGTTAGATGCGTAATAAATATTTTTACGCTCCATTAACGGACATTTTGGACAAAATCCATTAAAAGAGACATAGGTACTAATTTATAAAAGGTTAAAGATAAAAATTAAACGAAAAATGTTAAAGACACAAACATTATAATGAGCAAACTTTGAAAAACTAGAGTGCAAATACAATGTGGTGGAGCGAGTAAAAAATTATGTTTTAGGGATTCCCTTCAATCTATATGTCCCCACTACCTCCTAAGTCCTAAGTGGGGAAACGGGTGCTTAATAGTAATAAAATTAAGCTCCTATTTGTATATATTTTTTAAAATTAATTTTTTTCCAAATTTATGTTTAACTCCACGCTATTTCAATAAATTTAAACGTGAACCTATAACTTTTTTTTTAATATTTTTAACCACACATTCTTTAAAAAAATTATTTTCTTTAAATCAATTCTAAAAAAAATCTACTTAAACATGCCTAAAAAGCTCATTAATGTAGTCGTTTGAGTTAATTTAATTAATACTCACTGAACGTTAATATAGATTATTACTTGCTCACCGAAATTTAAAAGGTTACTCATTGCTTACCTAAATTTGAATAAAGTTATTTGTTGCTTACTGAACTTTACTATATGTAACACTGATGGGAATGATATGGGTGATTGATGAGTAACTTTGTTCAATTTTGGGTGAGCAACGAGTATCCTTTTAAATTTCGATGAACAAATAATAATCTATAACAAAGTTCAGTGAGAAAAAAAACTTTTTAGATTCCAATGAGCAAATAGCAACCTATAATAAAGTTCAGTGACCATTGATTAAATAAACTCTCCGAATTTCAAACACCACGGTTTATAGCAATCCGTTTAAATCCAATGTATCTAGAGTTATGCTACATGTACAAAATTGGTTGACAAAATAACATATACATTAATCATTTTGAAAATAGATTTTTAAATCATTTGAAATCAACGATTTAGATTTTGCCAAAACACTTTCTAATCCAATTTTTGTAACTTCGTACAAGTCTATCTATACAACCAATTCCAAGAATCACACTCCAAAATTTCTCTGTTCCCGCCAAAACCTTCGTTTTTTTCACGGACCATATAAAAATTCCATTAATTTGATCCATCACTCTTTAAGCCATTTTTCCTTTCTCAAAATTCGGTAAAATTTCAAACACGGGCATATAGATATTTTTTCCAATTCCTTTTACCAGTAATTGATCCGAAAGTTATATATCGTGTGGTATTGCGTGCAAGTATCAGTCGAACACGGTGAAAATGGAGGATTACCTGCACTACATGAAGACTCTCCGCTTCCAAATGAACGGTAAGAAAACTTTCTTCTCGGTTGTTTAATTTGTTTGAAATTTTTTGGTTAATTTTACGTTACATATAAATGGTGTGAAGCTAAGTGTGTTTAATTGTGTTCTTATGCGAAATTAAATAGAAATGATTAGTAATTATACAAGGAATTGCAGATGTTGAGGATCAAGCGGCCAAAATTACAGTCGAAGAGCAAATGTTCAGCACCACTATTCAAACTCTGGAAAAAGATCTCGATTTAGGTTGTGCCATGTAATATCTATTTTTACGTTATCTAACCTTTTTTAGTCAAAGAAAATTTGCAGTATCGACGAATAATACTATTCTAAAAGAGACTCTTTTCTGATGATGTAATTGCTGGTTATTTCGTCCATGTTTCCTCCATTTTTTCTTTTGATTTTGTTATATTTTGAATTTGAAACTGTTTAGAAAATAATCACTCATTATCTATAGAGCTGTGAGTCCATGGATTAAATTTCCAACTGAGATTCACTTAGCTTTAAGGCTAGCTGTGTGCTTATCGGAATTATTTTTGCGATTTTGATTTATGTCATGGCTCCTTTCGAATTTACTTAGATTCTTCCCTTTCATTCTGATCCATTATGTTTTTATTTTACTGAATTACGTGTTCAATTATAACTTAGGTTTACGAATTAGCCTTTCTTTTTTTAAATTGAGCTTAGCGTAATACTTTTTCTTTTTAGAGCATGTTTGGGAGTGATTAAAATCCTATTAAAATTGAAAATATAGCTGTTATTGTGTCCCACTCATCTAATATATAGTTACGCAAAAGTCTTTTAGTCCAAAAATATTGCTCCTGTTGTTTAAAGTTGTAAAGTTATTGACGTGAAATCATTCAGCAAAGAATGAAACAAGGCGATTGACAGAGGAAAACGATCAGATGGCAAAAGCTAAAGGACAGATCTGTTTGCAGATTCTGGAAAAGCAGAAGAAAATTGCTTCTTTGGAGTGTGATTCTTCTACTCTTGCTCAGGTACCGTGTTCCTTTTTTTTTTTCTCACTTATGTACAGCTTTTTAGCTTTTAATGGAGATACACTTATTGTCAAGTATTTGAAACCTGTGTTGTCCCTCTTCCTCTCCCCCCCACCGCACAAAATAAAGAAACAGAAACTTGAATTAAAAAACATTTGTTCATTGGAGGTGGTTGTTCACCTTGCTAAACGATATCATCATAAAAGAAAGTGGGTGGCCAAAGCTGTCATAGACATCTGCAAGCCACAATTTCTCATTCGCATCCTTAGCCTATCGTATATGTTAGATGTTATATGATTTGTACGGAACAAGAATGACCGGTGGTATAATGATGTGAAAAGTAGATTCCCTTTGTGTGCATCTGTCGTATTTGTGCTTTCTCTTCATTCTATCAATTGAATGGATGAAGGTGGGTGCAGATTTTAGGCTCTTTCTTCCATAAAAATACAATTTTAAATACATTTATGGTTTCACATTTTTAACTTTATATTAAATTTGTGCAGCTACTAGACATATAGATGGGCTGCCTAATTTCATATTGTTACTTTTTGATTTAAATTGATAATATACTTCCTGTGTATTATGCATTGATTAATAAAATATTTGATTACCTTTCAAATAAAATAAACTAAAAAGTCATGAATCACAAGTATTAGGGATTCTGGCTGCATGCATTAGCAAGTTGAACTGCAATTTCTCCGTAGGTTTTTGAAGAAAGAACCAGTTGATACTTGAAACTTATGAGAGACTAGAGACCAGTGAAAAGAACGGAACATGATAAAGAAAGAAAATGAAATTTTATGGGCTCAGACATTGTGTTCTTACACAACTGGGGGAATGCTTCTACCTGAAATTCTAGAAGTAAATCTTGTCACAGACCTTGTGAAGGCACACGTTGATGTGCATATTATTTTATGCAACTTAACTGACTTGCCGACGCACTTCACAGCTGAGACAGGATTAAGCCTAGCTGTAGGCCACAAAGATCTCTCTCCAACTCACGAACCATTTAGAATGACTCTCATCTTGCTTCTTTGGCATGCAGACATTGGACCTTATGCAACAAGAAAGACTAAGCCTGGCAGCAAAATTTGTAGAAAGAAGGTAATTTGAAGAGCATATATCACAAGATGCTTTGAAATATGGTATAACATTAGACATATTTGATTATCATAACAGTGAATATTATACCAAGGTTGCCGAGGACATTGCTATGCAACTAAAACAACAGAAGGTTTGAATTCTTCTGCTGCATTATCTAGATTATGCATGCTGCGTTTTGTTATTCTGATGTCTTGTCATATTTTTACTGCATAGGAGTGGACAAACGCTCATAAATTTAGCTCACTGATTGGAGAGAGTGGCTCGGTAATTCTCAGAGTACTTCGTTTTCCAGTGAAAACATGTACTATTAATTATTGATTTACCTGCATATTTAGGAAAAATATACTGCATATCCCCATGTATGAGGTTTACAATTAAACAAATATTTTTACTAAGCTAGGCATGTAACAGGTTCTAAATAAATCATAATTGTATTCAAGTGCCAGAAGAATATGGCAAATATTTAGATGTATTCAACACGGTAAATTCCCAAGTATGTTATCCTTTATATATTTCGACTTTGATGGCACATAATGTAGATACTACCTAAATTGACCGTTCTTAAATGTTATATTTATTACTTGTTTTATGTTCCCCTGATCTTCTTCAAGCCGATGGTTCAAATCCATCAGCACTAAATCATAATCCAGTTATAAGGTCTCTACACTTTTCTTGCCGCCAGTAGCTTTATATTGGGGAATTGGGTATTTTATTTGCCTGTTTGATCCTTACTGATATATGTCCATTTTTCATTCTTAGCATCCTTACCTGAACGGTTCTTCTTCTCTGAAATATATTTTGACATGAAATATAGGGCTTAAGGTTTGTGATGTATAGTTCTCATCTAGCTACATATATTATGCATATGAAAATTTTCTTTGAAGCATCTTTTTGACTTAAATTACACTTCAATAGAATTTTTAAGCTGATCGTTTCCTGTGTGAAATGCTAAATCTGAGCTACTTCAACTTTTTCAGCACTCTTGGCATATTTACGTCATGTTATTTCTTGATGGAGATATTTTGATATCTAATTTCTGTCAAATGCAGGTAAAGGAGAAAGCAGGTGGCACCGACGGTACAACTAATAGATTCCTGACATTCTGCTATTGCAATAAAAAATGATCATTTCCATTCACCTGTTTAGTGTCCTATTTCATGGATGAGTGTGTCATGAACACATTTTTGCCTCCACTGAATGACCATCTAATTCGACAAGAGGGTAATTAGTAAATACCCTCAATTAATTATGAGAAACATATTACCAAATAACATACTGCCGACTCACTACAAGCTATAACCAGGAATTGAGTCTGATAACGTGGCAATTCTAGTACTAAATCTTCCAGAATAGAGGACTCAATCTTGAACAATGATGAATTCCCGATAAAGCCTGTGGCCGGATTTGCCTAATATATATAGATCCTGAGGAACCATTGACTTCCATCAGCTTCAAGTCATGCAATTTCACCGTAGACGAATACAATTTCCAATTCAATTGGATACTGAACAAAGCTATAGAAAATCACAATTTTAGCATTTATAAGTTTAATAAGTGGAACATAACCGATAAGTATTAAAATGCCTCTGTTTGAAGCATATAATTTTACTACTTTAGCACAGGGAAAGCCGTAGCTTCTTGGATAATGGCACAAAAGTATGATTTTGTAGGCCAGGATATGGTTTCCAAATCAACATCAGTAAATAACTATTTTCTTTTCAGCTCACTGTGTATAGTATTAAATATTTCAACGTAAAATAGAAAACACGGGCAAATCCTGAGAACTTTAGGGAAGATGTGGCCAATACCGTAATGATGAATTTAGAAGAACTATGTCAAAAGAAGTAGTTTTGATGCATATAAGCAGGGCGAGGGTGTAGTTTCCAAATTTTATCTTATTGGAGAACTAATGTTTCTAATTTATCGTAATTGTACGCTTTAGGAAGATAATTCTAGCAACAGCTGTTCTTTTAACATCTCTGTTTGTCATTAAATGTCAGATGTAAGTAAAAAATTATTGCTAATCTGCAGAGTCCCATGATGATGTGGCTAAAAGCATAATGGTGAATTTGGATGCTGCTAAAGCCAAGTTTGACCAGCTTACACAACTGAAATTCAATCTTGTTGTGGAGAATAGAAAGGTCTTCATTTGCAACCTGGATGCTCTAACTGCATGCAGCAATTAAAATTTTTCTCATATTTTGTTGAGCTAATACTTAAGAAACAAATACCGTGTTAAGAAATTATCATCCCCCTCCCCTAGGCACGCACACATGCAAAGATAAATGTGCATCGCTAGCACTGGTTAGTGGGACATTTTTTTCTCGTCAGCGCACCTATTCTGTTTTAAGTTCAGATGTGTACATATGTAATCAAGAAATCTGCTTTACTCTTTGCCCTTTATTTTCCCGTCTAGGTTTTGATTTTAAACCTTTGAAGCAATGGAATATGTGATCTTTCCATCTTAAGCTATTGTTTCTCGATGGAATTTATTGCAGAAAACATACCTTTCTTTTCTTCCCTAAAGTGTCTTGACAGAACTTGGTGAATTTCATTCTGAAAATTGACCTTTTGGGATATATTAATTAGCTATTTTACTGCCACAGCTGAGGGAGTCTGTTGAGCTAGTGAAGAGTAAAGTAAATGACTTTCAGGTACATTGCTATCTATTCGTCATTATTTCTCTTTTTTATTTTATTAATATAAGCGTGCATAGAAGTTTTTTGGTTGATCCTAATTCCTACAAAGTATATGCTAACATCAGCACCGCATAAGGCAGCCATTGAATTCTCTTGGTTTTGGATTTTTGTATACTTTGTCTATATAGAAAATGGATTTACTACCTAAGCATCATGAAAAGCATATCATGAAAAGCAGATTCATATCCCTTGAATGCAAACTGTTTCAATTAGTCAGATTTTAAATTGTTGAGATCTAGAAATGAAAATAACAATCCCAAAGTCATCCTCTCACGCTCTTCTACAACTGGTGGAGAATGGTTTAGCCAGAACTTAGTGAGATGGATGTGAAAAGCTTGGAGGAGGAGCTTCAAGCGCTCTTATCAGACAAAGCCGTAGAAACTGAGTATATGCAGTCTTTGCAACTCCAAATTATGAAATTGACGGTAAATCTTTCCAACTTTTGCCTCGTGTTGTTACTTAGAGCATGATTATTGTGCTTACAACTAAATCAAATTTACTCTTTTTAAGTTAAATAATTTGTCAAACATGATTTTCAAAATCAATCATTATACTGACAAAACTTATACTTATCTGGAAAGTACATCTAACTTACTTCCTTGAAAAGTAAGGCCAACCACGCTCCAAGTTATCTATCATATCAATGCATGAAATCACCGATGTGCTAGACAATAAGAGTAAGATTGAGAAACGTTCTGATACACCTCTATTTGATTGCCTATATTCTTGGCAATCACAGACAGAAAAGTTGTGATTAATGAAAAAGTAAGATAAGCTACCTGACAATACAATTTTATCATCACTTCAATACAAGGATGTTATTGCTCTTTTGTTTTTACAGGAAATTTCGCATGTTGTTAAATGTTGCTGTGGAGAGGAATACAAAGCAAAATTGGATCTTTGAGGCAATAAACACAGAAATCAAATCGAAAATGTTGGTACAATAGTTCAACAGGTGATTACAGTGTAAATTTGCAATGAAAAAGAATTGTGCTAAAACTGCTAATTTGTTTCGATGTTGAAAATTGTACGAACGAATACTATCTGTATTCAGTTGAGAGCTATAATAAATGCCACTTGAAAATATATCCCAGTAAATGAGCAGAATTACAAAATTTTGCACAACTTAATGTGAAGCAACATCTGAGGAAGTTGATAACAATAAAGTACTGAAAAAAAAAAGGATCTATAATGTGAAAAAGAATTAATAAATTAGAAGGTTTACAAAGATAAGATTATCATAGTAGCGCTACTGCTCATTAATAGGAAAAACCAGGAAGACCCATTTGAACAAAATTTCCTGGAGTTTTGGGACCCATAAACAGTGAAAATCATATCTGTCAACATCCTTAAAAGAGCTAAGAATGCAAAAGCTATACATAACAGAAATATAACAATTCCTTTATTCTCAATGTGCAACTGATTCTTCCGAACCCTTTCGACCTCCAATCTGCAATTAAACACAGCCACCATATTAGTAAGCTATTCAAAATAGGAAAGCAAACAGATAGTCAACATAATCAGATAAATGAGTTAGAAGCGATGACTTGAAACAACAAATATGTATTCATATTCCACTAGTGAACCACATAATTTTGTAAATGAACCCAAAATTTTGTTCTTTTGGATAGCTCATTCCACTTCACTTAGGGAACCAAATGTTTGGGGTTTTCTTTTCTAAGGTCTAGGACAAACTCCCATTTGGATGAATGAGAAAACCAAACACCAGAAAATTGCATTGTTTAGGCCTGTTATTAGATTTACGTCAGTCGGAATTTCGTCCTCTAACCTTACGGAATCACTATAAGGGGTAAGGAGATGGTGGACTACTTGATTATTGGATTCTAAATACTGACAAATGAAGGTCAACAACAAAGAGGATTTATATATTATCCTATGGTCTCATCAACATAATGACACCCAATAAAACCTCCTAAAAATAATTAACGAAAATAATTTGATTCCTACACAGAAACAGCAGGAAGACAGATAGCCAGACACACAGAAAGAGCTTAATCTTGAAATTATCAGGTTCTTAGGTTACTGGTTAATAAACAAATTTATTCCTAAAGAAATAATGCACCCAGCAGAGGTCAGTAGAAGAACTGTCACGATGGAAGGGAGAAAATGGATATTATTAAGAAAATTAGGAAAAAACCTGAGAACAGCATTGTCTCTGATTATATCATCGATTTGCATGGAAATAAGAGATTTCCAAGATAAAAGGTCAGTGATCTCCTTACTCTGCAAAAATAATAATATTATAGAATACAGTCCCAACAATTGACAGACTGAAAATACAAATATAAGGAGAATCAAGGTGACAAATTTGCATACCATGACCTCCTTGCTGTCAAAGAAACTCCTTATGTCTAACTTGATATTTTCCAAAATGACATCTTTTTCTCCAATTTCTTTATCAAATTCTTTGAAGATGTTACCATATCTGGAATTTAACTCCTCTAAGTATCGCTCCAGAACCAATAAATTCAAATCCAAGGATCTAACTTTTTTCATTAGAATTTTTAGAACACTATCCCCAGGCATCCTATTAACCTGCTGACGACGAATTTCTTCAACTGGGTCTGGCACATCGATTCCAGTGGCTCCATGTTTACCATTAGAGTTTCCAAGTTCATTAACAGGTTCATCAATTGCGTCTAGACAACGATCACTCTCTGTAGTCATGTGCTGGTTGGATGTAGGTTTCTGTTCGTTAACCAGTTCCTCGGATACTGCTATCTTATCCTGAACTGAGATCAGATCTTCAAGCATTTTCTCAACAGCATCCACTCCATACACTTCTAGAACACTCAGTGTACAGTAGAACTCTGAACCATAATGACTCGATAAATTCAGTTTAAGATATCTCATCCATTTTGGCTCTGTAAGAACAAATCTCTGAGCTTGTTTCACATTACCAGCAGTGAAATTTCCAAGTTTAACCCATGAATCAGTTGGATAAATAGGACTTCCAAGTAGCTCAAAATCTTTCGGATTAGATGAGTGGTGTTCTAAATTTGCAATTTCAATTGTATCCACTAATGTTTCTTCGGAAAGTTCTATGACAACGAACTTTTCCTCGGCAGAGCAAGGATTTCGAAGGTACTTGTCTTTATCTCGACTTAAGATATTAGAAGCACCCTTTGCTTCCTTGTTGTACGCCAGGACCTTTGCTCCCTTAGAGGCAGAAGCATAGTTGTATTCTGCCCCTCCAGGCTCCACTCTGTGAATAATGTTTCCAGCCTCACCACTTAAATGTCCAGTTCTAGAATTTAATGCCTTGTTCTTGAATTCATCGAGACCTGGAAGGACTGCACGAGATAACTTGTCACTTTTAGAAGTGTCCTTAGGATTCTCCATAGAGTCCAATATGTTGGCCGCAGTCTGCTCTGCAGTGACCCGTTCAGACTTAACAATTGTTGACTTGATTTTTGATTCACCCTCTGTACCCAAATGAACAATAGAGTCTTCGGGATGAATTCCCACTACACGATTTTCATCCACCTGTAATATGGGACTCCTATCGGACCCCATTTGATCTTCATCCCCCGTTTTTGTACCAAAAGGGAACTCAGGAGATTTGTCTGCATCCATTAAAGCATTCAATATTTAGCAGGTGGGTGAAAAAAAAAATCAATACAGAAGGTGATTTCAACAATGAAGAGCAGATTATGTTGGATAAGAACAGCCACAAGACTAAAAATGCAGATGCAATCACCTCAATTAAAGCAATTGTCCAACCTAGTGATCCAACATCCTATTAGGTATGTATATATGCTCAAGCAAATAGGGATTAGCTCACGTAGAGCATGTTCAAGGCCAGCTCAAGAACAAAGCAACCCAGAAACTCATAATTATTTAAAATCATAACTTTTCGAGCTCGGCCAAGAGGACTGCACAAGCTTGGCTTGAATTTGACACATCAAAAGCTCATGTAAGCTATGCTTCAATATTAAGTCAGCCAAACTTGAACATTTTTTAAGACCTTTATACAAAAACAATTCCAGCTTGAGCTCCCTAAATCTCATCAGCTCAAACTGGCTCATTATACTCCTATGCGTTTCATTATCCAATAGCATTGCTTGCTCATATAAACTGATATGACGCAAATTTAAAACTGCAAGATAAATATGATCTAATATAAAATCCAATGGAGGTTCGAAAACGAAAAAACTGGACTAACCTTTGTGACCATCGCCATGGCCAAACCATATATTCATGAGAAACACAAGGCCCCAAAGAAGAACAACAAGAGAAAGAGAAACTTTATACAAGTGAGTCTTTCCACCTATTGCCTTCTCCAAAGCTCTTCTTTGCAGAAGAGCCCTGCGTGATCTCTGCATTTCACATCAATCCAATCCAATGCTAGGACTAGAGCTCTAATGAGAGGAAACAACAGGAATAGCCTACACCAAATATAACCAAAAAAAAGAACTTTTATACATTAAAATAAAATAATTGACAATATACAAGCAAAAACTTGCAAATTTATTTTAGCAGGGAAGTAGAGAACAATAAGAACATTTTACACATTTAAGAATTGATGTTACTATAAAACCTGATACATCACAATTCAAAAACCACAAATCCATTCAACATTCAACCAAAAATCAATCATTCAATGTCAATTTATGAATTTCAAGAAAATTCTAGATCAGAAACAAGAAAATCAAATTCGATTGACCAAAAGACTGTTCAACGCCGAGATCTATATACACCCGGAATTCTTGTGAAGAATTCAAGTGAAAGAAAAACGATCTGAATCTAGAACTAAAGAGATCACCTGAATTTTGTATCAAGAAACAGGTCTTTGAATGTTCTGGAAAACTTGAAATTGGGAATGCCTAACTTTCAGCAGATCATCCGCTATTTCTTTGCCGTGTCGACTTCTCTTATATAATCTTTAGATTTTATAATTCCTATACACTTATATTTGAATCTATCTTCTTCTTTGTCAGTATATGAACATAAGCATATATACATATAAAATAATAAAAGTAAAGTCTACTCCCCATCCCCATCCCCACCCTCTCTATCTGGCTGCGCCATTATAACGGCTTTCTGTGCTGGCATCCACCGAATCTGCGGCTTTTTCTTGTTTTTATTGAATTTGAAAAGAATTCCTCATTTGTTTTTTGAATTAACCCGCAAAGAGACACGGGTAAAAGTCACGAAAAAAAACTTGAAACAAGACAACGGTTAAATTCAGTAAAGAAAACAAAGATAAATACTAACCTTGAAAATTTCAATTTCGAGCCATAAGTCTCTGCAAAACCGAAAACACCACCAATCCCAATCCCAGTTCTTGATTCTTAAAATTTTCAATTAAGGACAGAATTTTGATAGGAATCCCAGTCGTAACTTGTAAGAGAGGTGTAATAATAAAAACTAAAAAGGGACACTTTGAGAGAGGCCCCCGGGGGGGGGGGGTGTTTATATGGACTTTCGAATTTGATAGACTTTTTCTAAACGATGATTTTTGTAGATTTCGTGGATTTTTTAGAGATTTGTATGGAATTAATATCTTTTATAAAGTTATAAATTTTTATTTTAAAACGTTTAGAAATTTTTTAGAATTCAAAAGATTTTTAAAGACTTTCGTTTGAGATATAATTATGAATATGATGAAATATTGTAAAATTATCACATACGAGGTGGTGGTTCTCACAATTTCCCATCTCCTTTTTTTCCTCTTATAACAAAAAATTATTTTAAAAAGAATAAAAATTTAAAATTTTAATTAAATAAATAATTATTATAATACTTATAAAAAATAAATTTATATATAGTATTATTAATATAATATACTTTTAAAGAATAGATAAAAAATATGTATTTAAATTTAATTATAAATTTAGTATTCATTTGTGCATTTTATAAAAATCTCTAAAAGTCATAAAAATTTGAATATCCTAACACTTACAGAGACTTCTACGAAGTTTTAATTGGATACATCGTGATTTTTAGAAATTTTTTAAAAGTTTATAAAAGTTTCTATTGAATATATCAATACTTTTAAAAATCTCAAAAAGTCTACATTGAATATTTTTAAACTTTTTAAATCCCAAAAAATAATTAAAAAATCTCAATTCAATACACCATTTAAATAATCATTTATTTAAAATATCTTTTGGAGTTTAAAAATGAGTTGACAGTCAACCGCGAGTCCTAGAAGGACGTGTATTTTCTGCGTGGCGGTCTTTGATTGGGCCACTGATGTTGTAGAATATCGTAGGCCATCCGCGTTGGTCACTGAATGAAGGAATGTGGTAAAATGAGTTGGACAGTCTTGTGTCCCAATCCCAATATATGCCTACTTTAAGGAACATTCTATGGGTATATTTCATAGGTTGTCACTAAACTTTCAACTAAAACTTATTTTAATTTACTCAAATGGTTCATTGATTTTAATTCAGTAATGCAATTTAGAACAATTGGTTTTATAAAATCAATTTAGATGAATAATGTTATTTGTACATCATAATTCATAATTTTTTTTTTTACAGATTGACGAGGTATCAAAAAACATATGAGGGGGTTTTATTTTTTTTAGGTAGTTGCTGAAATTTTGATTTAATCGCATCTCGCTAAATTACGTATTGGTAAATAAATATGTAATATATGATATACACACAACACAATCCCAATTAGATAGTAATAAGTAATATATTCAGAGACAATTAAATAAGTCATATAATTTTACTTTTAATTCAATCTATTACAAAGTGTCATTTAGATTAATCTTCTAGCGTAAGTGATGTTAGATAACATTATTCTTTTAATTTAATGTCGTGTTTCAATGCTCTATCATATTTTGTCATTTGTCGTCTTTAAATTTGACGAAAATTGCTTAGTTAACAATACAATGTAACTAATTTTTCATGTAATTACTAGAGAATATCATTTTCCATGTAATTACTTCAAAACATGAGTAAAAATGAATGTAATGGTAGTCTTTAGATTAAAATTTAACACTTTTTTGGCATGATATAGTTGTGAGTTGGCATGTTTCAAAAGTGAAAACGTGGAAGATTCGTACGTGGATTCTATATGAATCAATTAAAATTAAAATTAAACGATTAAATTAAAAGGGTGTTTGGTGTAGATTAAAATAAGATTTTAAGTGGATCGTGATAGAAGTTTTTGAAATGTGTGGTTGAAAAGATGTGGGACCCATGAAAGATGTGGTTGATATTGATTATTTGACTTTGATTTAGATTAAAATCTAGCCCAAACATGTCCTAAAACTAAATTAAAAATGTTGAGACTTAATTGAGATAAATTAGAGTTTAGTAATGTAAATGGATTTTCTTTTTAAAGTTCAGTCACCGCAAATGAAATTTGTCCAAATTTTTGTATCAAATTAAATTATTATTTTGTGACCTATCCAGCTAGGATTAACAAAAGAAGGTCATGGTGATTTGAAAGCCTATCAAGTCCGTTAGCAGTCAACTATCTTTAGTCATGGTGATTTGAAACTAAGATAAGACAATAGTAAATTTTTCAACAGCATGATTAACTCTTACCTTCCTTTTCTTTGAGGCTCATACGAAATTGTTAGTTGTATGCTTGAGCTCAATCATATAAGAAAGTGAAATAGCATTAATAATTCTTACATTCTCTCAACGATCATTTTCGTAAATTTCAATATAAAGCAACACGAGATTGTACTAAATGTTGATAGTTTGAAATGTCGATCACCATCAACCCATCACAGCACACTGAATAATCATAAAAAGGTCGAGCATTCATTTGATCATTTAATAACATGATAATATTTAACATATATTTCAACGATGGAACCTTAGTATCAGGGGCGGAGCCAGGATTGTGTCGTACGGGGGGTAAAAATTTTTAAAATTAAATGTACGAATAAAATTTATATATGACTACAAAAATTGTAATATAACGTTACATATTACAATTGTACCCGACGATATTTTATAGCATAAATTTCATCTATAATAGAATCTAGATCTAACGTTACATATTACAATTGTACCCTAATGTTTGTTACTCTTTGAAAAGAAAGATAACAAAATTCTTCCTTTTTTGGAAGAAGGTCGATCTTCCTCCATATTAAACCTAAGAGCATAAATGTCAAAAAAAAAAAAAAAACATTAATATCCTATGAATTCTTATATAAATTGTGGTTGACTAAATTTCCAAACTAACATTTACTAAAAAAATGCCTAATTGAGACACTTCCAAATTCAATTCAAAAACTAGAAGCAGATGTGCTATCAATTTCCAATGCAGACTAATTGAGACTCAAACACTTCCAAATTCAATTCAAAAACTAAATTGAAGAGTGATATTGGTAACTGGTAAGGCAGTAAGGCTAAGGCACATTCAAACACACAAATTCAACCTGGTACAAATTCAATCCCCACATTCAAACACACAAATTCAATCCCCACAGGCCACAACCACATTCAAACACACAAAGACAGTAAATGTGGAAAATGTCCACAGACACCACACAGTCCAGTGTCCACACAAAATCACAGCTCCAATAAAAAAAATCAGTAAAAAAACTACAGCTCCAGCCTCCATCCTCAAGTACGTATCATTATATCAAGTATAAACTATCAACATTCAGTAAAAAACCAAAAAAAAAATTACATTTCTCACAGACTCAGTCACAGACGGCGTTCGGCTTCGGTGGACGGTTGGAGGAAGGGTTTCGCCGTTTCGCACTTTTGGGTTTCAGAGAGTCAGACAGAGAGAGAGAGCAGACTGGAGAGGGACGAACGGAATGGTTTGGCAGTTTGGCTGCCTTTCGCAGCTTTGAGGCAGAGAGGCGAGAGCAGAAAGTAAGAGAGGGAGTCGTGTGAGATTGTGAGAGAGAGAGAGAGGTTCGCGTTTTGGGTAAATGGGTGGGATGGGTTGGGCTTTCAATTTTTCAAATGGGCTAGGGCTTTCTCCAATTTTTTTTTTCAAAGGGTGGGCTTGGGCAAGGGTGGGCTGGAAAGGATAATTGGGCTTCAACCAATTTTTTTTTTTTTTTTTCAGAGACTGGGCTTGGGCAAGGGTGGGCTACATCCCACCCCTATCTCCGCCCCTGCTTAGTATCCAACCCATATCATTTTCCGTGCTCATGCATGTTAATTAATACATGTAAAATGGCTTGAAAGTCATTTCTAGAACCTATAAGAACATCAATATCCTGCTTTGTTACATTATAGTCAAAGTCAATGAATTATTTAGTCAAAGTCAAGGAATTCAACCATCAAAGTCAAATAGGGACTAAGTTAAATAAATGATGTTCATGGGGTTTAATTGGTAATTGCTAATATTTGAAGGGCTATAAATAATATATAAAGGAATATAGGATGTTAGT